GGAAATTCAAGGGGGGATAAAATAATTTTCTTCTTGCCCAAGTTAGCCATACATAGACTTGTCTAGATTTGAAATGTGTGGTGTGTTTTTTAGAAAATATTTATCAAGACAATTGTAAAACATCTTGACTCTTGGCTAGTTAGTGCTTCACAGCTTTAAATTGGGTTTGTTTTATATGCATAGCTACAAACTCTGTCAGGTATAAACCAACAGTATATTAATATATTGGTATGTTAGGCCACTATACTGTAAACTCCGAATCTCAGCCTGTTTCGCACAGTTTTGTCCATCACTAATCTTTTATCTGTCTTTGAAATTAAAAAGTTTGCTGAAATAATTATTGATTTGTAATAAGAAATACTGCAGACACTTTTTTTATGTGTGGCCTGCAGTGAAGCAAGTACAAATCCATGGATCATGCATACTTTACAAAAAAATCTGGCTTTGGTAGTAAACCAAATCTGCAGATTTCAAAAATGTTATTTCTTCAAATCCAGACCAGAACTCCTAGTGGAACTGAAAGCAGGATTGACTTCTGACTGTTCAGATTCAGCACTCCCAGGACTGTCCTTAAAAAGGCACATGTTTATGGGAACTTAACACCTAGTTTCCTAAATTCCTAGATCTGATCTTAAGTATGCATCAACAAAATTAAGATACCACAGTCTCATAAGTGCTGGTGTGAAGGCTGAGATTATGAAGTCATAAAATAACCACTGGCAAAATTAATTTGGAAGCAAATAAAGCAGAAATTTTTATTTTGTTTTTCTTTGTTTTAAAGTCACAGCATGGCAAATAACATAATACAAATAATGTGATTTTCAAGGTGCTTGTTACTAGGAGATTCCGATCAAGGCTTACTCTTTGTTTTCTATATCCAAATGATAAATATTTTGCTTTTTACAAAATAATTATTTTATAACCCAAGGGCTGGTACCTACAGATAAATTTGTGCTTCAGCACACTCTTCTGACATGAAAAGTATTCATAAATCTAAACTACAATTTCACATCCTCTCAGAAACCACTCTAACAGAGGCATGGCAAATCATTTATGTAGTAGGCAGAGCAAAGCCTGTCAGTACACTTACAGTGCAGGTGTGTAACCTGTTTTTTCTTCCTCCATCTGCTGCATCACTTTGGGGTTGGGTAGGCATTATTCAAAAAAATAGCTTCTGCCATTTCAGAAATATATGTAGAATTCCCCTTTAGCTTGTAGCCTTTTCTATCCCTTCATATTGTATCAAGATTCTGCCATCACACACGTGAGTGCTTTTCTGAATCTGAGGGAAAGGAGCTGAAAAGTAGTGGCAGGTATGGTATTGCCAGGAGCATGGTAGACCATGAGAAGACTATAGGTAGACAGTGTATTAAATGCCTGTCCTTTGCAGTTATGGGGAATATCACTCACAGAATAAAAACTATGGCCTTGGGCCACCCCCACAGCTAGGAAATCTGCATAGGAGAAGTGTGCTGCACTTTCCAAGGTCAGACATGCACCCTTTCCCAGACAGAGGCTGAGAACACTCATCCTGGAGGAACCTGCAGGACTGAACTAACCTTCTCTTCTGCAGGTAGAGCCAAGCAGTGGAGCAGGGTGTAGAAGCATCACCAGAGCCAGTCTTGGTTCAGTGGAAGCTGCAGGGAACAGCAGAGCAGGTTAATAAAGCATTCCTGAAGTTACCCAAGGTTACTGCCTCCATGCTCTGGGCGTGAGGCATAAACAAAATGTTTCAGTGCAAGAGGTGCATGAGGCCTATGTGTCTTTTGTTATGGGAAATATTTTTCTGAGATTCCTGTGGATTTTGGGTGTCAGTACCACCCTTTCTCCCCAGTGCCAGGCCCCAAATCCCACTGTACCCAGGTGATGCACTCAGTGCAGCTGCTTGATGATAGTGAAAAACATGAGTAGTCAAAATGAAAACACTCCAATATGGGAATGTGAGATGAGAAAGTAAGTGATAACATCAATGAATGTTTAAGGCTTTTTCTCAGGCAGTAAAATCTCAGAAGTAAAATCAGGACATGTAACAAACAAGGACAAATTGAAAAAGGAAGTATTCGCATGTGTCTTGTTTTTGTTTTCTCTTAGGCTCAGATTTGTACTGCATTGTAGCCCAAACTATTAGAGACATCTGGTTTAAGTCTGTAGGGTTATTTGTTTATGGTTTGGCCTATTTAATTTTCATTTTTCTCCCTTTTACTTTTGATTCTGTCTTCTCTCTAGGTTTACTCTAGTAATATTTTTTCAGCTTTTGTCTTTGTTTCTCTTTTATCTTTTCTCCTGTCTCTCCAGTCATCTTTGGCTGCACTTGTCTGCTCAATGCACTATCTTGCAGACTTGGTAGATCCTGCAGATGACCAGTGCTCAAGCTTTAGAAAGACCTCTTCTTTCCTGTATTCTTTCTTTCCCCCCCTCCACAACCTTAACTGTCTGCAAAACTGATTTCAGAGCAGGAGAGAGCCGCTCCTTCCTTCCAAGTACAGAGTGCCATCTTTCTTGGAAGTGGTTTCTCCTGATTTTTGCAGCTAATGGAATAATTTCCCTTCCTAGTTATTTTGATGGGTCTCTTTCTGTCACCCAGTGAGTGAGGCACCTGTACGAGTGTTACTGGCATCCAGACACCTTATTATACTCCCCCTCAAGTAATGGGTTTGATTTTCATGTTCATTAAAGTTGCTCAACACATGGTGAAGTGGTGCTTTTAGGACTCTCTGGTTTCCTAGGTTAGTGTGAAAGGGGTTTTGGCACAAGTGAGAATAAAGGCCAGTACTGTCATTATCTGATGTTTAAAATGACTCATTACTTACTTTTCTTTGTGAAATTGATGCTATCAGTGATGTGAGAGAAGAAGGATGTTCTTACTACTAGAAACACTACACAGTGACTTGAAGGATTTTCAGATATTCATTCACATTTTTGCCCATTAGGTAGTGCATGATGCTCATTAGGTAATACAGCTTGAGGCCAGTTTTGGTCTCCAAAGGAAAAAAAAAAAACGTTTTGTTTTTAAAGGTGCTGTAGCATTCATGCACTTTAGTATTGATTTTTATTTGTACAGCACAGATGGCCCAATCATCTCTGTCTTCACATAGAATAGACACGAATGTATCAACTGCAACAATTACTTTTTTGCAAGTGCACTCCTTTTCTTCTCCTTGGAAAAGTTCATTTGTAGGATGTTCATGAGAAGAACTTTTGCATGGCCTGAGTTTTGTTGGGTTCAGAGGTAGATAAAGTCCAGTTACCACTAAGCACTTCAGAGAATTTATGTTCCTTCCATAGTTCCTTTTTCAGTCAAAATTTCCCTTTGAATAACTTGCACAGAAGTCTTTTACACAAGATTGGCACTTCTTCATCTCATACTTTTGTAATAACTGTTATATTGCTTCAGTCATTTTCTTTGTCAGTGGGATGACATATACTTTCATTAGATGACCTTTTAAACCCCTTTTTTTTTTTGTGAAAGAAACAAAACCAGATGTCATGTCTGAGTAGGTTTTCTCTGTATTTTAAAGTCTCCCTGCAAAAGTTTCTGGTTCATCACCCTAAAGGACACAAGGAGTGTGAGTTTGCAGAAATGTGTGACCCTATCTTCTCAAGTTTGCAGTTTTCAGTGGGAGTATCTACACTAAGACACTGCATTGCACAATGACAAAGATTGCCAGCCTTTGTCTGGTAAGCAGCCAGGTATCAAATCCATTCCACTTGCAGCCTGTCCTGTCTTCATAAAGACTCTTCTGGGGTTTGCAAAGCACTGTGGCAGATAGATAAATTCTTTAATTATGCATTCAGTAAGTCTCATAATAATGGGGTATTATATTTAATTTTATATTGTACTTATTTCTAATAAGATGCAGACTGTTAACTTCAGATGTCAGAATTTAGCAAGTTTGTACCTTTCTAGTGTTTCTTCAAACCATCAGCACACTTTAAAAGCCATGATTCGCATGCTGTTCACCTTTCCATTTTCACCTCAGAAACAGAGCATGAGAGACACTGTTAGTAAGGACTAGACAGACTGAAGCCATTCTGTGGAAGTGGGTAAATCTGACAGGAATTTCTGCAGTAGGAGTAGATTTCCACATATTTGTTACATACACACACACACTATAAACATATATATATATAGATATAGATATATATAGATATATATATGTATGTGAATCTGCTGCAAGAGATCCCTAATTAATTTAAAATTATGGTTCAATGTAGTTCTTTCACTCTTTGTCCCATTATTGAAACACCAATACACATTTTGCACTTGGTGATGAAAGCAATTCTACTTCCATCTACCTCTGTCTTTTAATTTATTTACTTTCTAATTCTTTCATCACTGTAATTTTATTGGCTTCTGTTTGGAAGTTCAATCTTTTTAATTTTTCCTATGTAATGAAATTTTTCTCAAATTATCTGCTGTTTTCCATCAGCCAGTGTAGCTACCTCATTATTCTGCTCCTTTTTTTCTCCCATGACCATCCTTTTTTTTTTTTCTGAACCTGCTATTCTGTATACAAAAGTAAAGACCCCTCCTTTGCTGCTCCAAAACTCTCAGGGAAGGAGAGTTTTGCCTGCTATTTCACCTTTGGCTAAAATGCAAGTGAAAGCTCATGCATTTATTCAAAAGATAAAAAAGTTACTGGAACTCGAGAAGAGCCCTGAGGTCAAGCAGTAGTGTTGATATGATTGTCTTCTCTATCCTTCATGATTTCTTACCCTTGCTGATCTTCCTTCTTCCTTTCACATGTGCATGTAAATGATGAATATTATGGTATGCAGGTAGGGCCCAGTGGTAGCATCCTAGATGATGATGTTAGGGATAAATTCCTATTGAATTCTGTGCCCTTCAATGGTTGCCTGAGGACACTAGCTACTTATTAATGTAAATAATCAGCATTATGTCTATCTGTGGAAAAAAATCTCTGTGGACTTTGTTTGAGGAGAAGCAGAACCAGGCAAATGAGAAATAAGTGAATTGCCTTTCTGTTTCCTTTGTACAGCACATCTGCCCAACTGTGCCCTGCTTTTCTACTGCTCCTCCTCCTGCTTACAAGCACTTGTAAACCTGGATGCCTCTTTGGAAGATGCAGCTGAAAATTGTTGGCTGTCCTAATTGAGGGGGTCTCCTCCAGCACTGACTTCAGGTAACACATACACATGCCAGACCCAGGGGCTGCTCCTGGCTTTTCTGTGAGCTCTGCAACTGCTAATTGTCAAACAGCTACTGATGTTGCCAGAAGTACTTTCTTTCCAGTATCTGGTCCACATTGCATGGGTTTTGAGGCATAAGTAGTTTCTGAATTCAGTAGCAACACACAGACTTAAAAATTGCTGGAGAAGTGGTTATAATCCTTTTTTCTAACCTTCTGGTTAGTTGGAGCTTGGAAGTAACACCACACTGTGCCTCTGTGAAATATACAGCTCAATTTAAGTGCAACATTTTCTCACCAAGGCAGAAGAAAGGTTTTTGAAGAAGAAAGAAGAGCACGTCTTCCTGCACTTTTTTATTACAAATTCTCATTTGTGTACAAATCAATTGCCATTTATAGATTGAGTGGGAGAGATTGCAAAGATTAGGCAGAAAGTAAAACTTGAAAATAGATTCCTTTTGATGTGTACCAAGCTTGGGGCTCTTATGAGATGTTATCACTACAAATGGTACACTCAGAAACACGTGGTTTTGGAAACTGTGAATGACCCTTGTCATTTTAATGTCTTCTGAGTAGAAAGTGCTTCATACATGTGTTCTTGCCAACATTATATACTACTTGTAGGGAAGGCTTTTGCTTTTTTATAGTTTCTCACATGCTGGTAGGAGACATACTTATCCATAGTTTTGTAGAAGTGGAAACAATGTATAAAGTGTTGAAGTGGGGCTCTGTGCTTCTCTCTTCCCCTGGCTCCTCAGAAGAAGTCTAAGTTGTAAAGGATGTAGTGCTTTCTGTCAAGAAAGATTAGGCTATTTCTTTTTTTCACTGGCATTTGGCAGTTCACACAAGTTGGGTCTTTTCCCTGCAAGTACCAGTTTGGCTGTGTACACTGCATTTCTCTACTTAACAGGCAACCTCCTTTTTCGCTAAGAAGCGGCATTAGTGTCAGAAAGCTGATTACTCCTGAAACAAAACTTTTGCATTGAGGCCATAATGAATGGCATAAAGACCATTTTCTATCATTTAATGAATTACTGCAGCAACTGACAACTTTTAGCACAGGTGGCCATTAGCTGCCAGGAAACACCTGACCTAAAGCTTACTGTTTATTAGCTATGAATGTCCAACCAGACAGCTATTACATCAAGTATGAAATACTATAAATTCCTTTTTGCATGTCTAAAAGTTAGAAGCTGAGCTGCCCATTGTCATGGATACAGCAGCCAGCTTGCAGATGGCATGTGAGGCACTGGCCACAAGATGAATGGTCCCGACATAATCTACTAGCTCCATCTCACTTGTTTGGGAGGAAGTGAACACTGGAAATAGGCTTTTCCCTCCTACTTCCAATAGTTTTGCTCCCTCAGATGTGAACAGTCCTTTTCAAGGAGCAGAAGGAAAATCATCACACGTTGCCTGACCCTGGGTAAAATAGTCCTGATTTAAACCACACTTAGGGTTAAGTTTACATCAAATCTGAAACACCTTCCACTACAAGAAAAGTCACTATTCAGTAGAATTTAGATCTTATGGGGAGCAATAGTGAATCCTTTAAATAAGCTGCTGTTATGCCAGTTTCGGGGATTTATATTTCTTGCTTTTGAAGCTTTGCCAAGGGCTTCAGGGTACATTCCCCGTGAAACTGTACAGTTAAGATGCTCTTTGTCCTGATACAGCATGATTCCTGAGTAGAACAACTGTTTCAATACTTTTGCCCAGACAAGAGGGCTCTTCAAAGACGAGGCTGAAGAAAAGAGTGTGTAAGAAAGCTGGAGAGGAACTTTGTACAAAGCCATGTAGTGGTAGGAAAAGGGCTTTAAACTGAAAGAGAGTAGAATAGATTAGATTATTAGGAGAAAACTTCTTACTTTGACGGTGGTGAGGTACTGGAAGGAGTTGTGTAGAGAGGCTGCAGGTGCCCCATCTCTGGAAATATTTTAGGCAGAGTTGGATGTGACTCTGACAAAGCTGATCTGGTAGAAGATGTCCCTGCCCATGGTAGGGAGGGTGGAACTAGATGATCTTTAATCTTTCTTTGGATCTGCCACCCCAAATCATTCCTTGATTTTGTAAAAGTGGGCTGCCAGCACGGGGATATGCACAGAACTTGCCTGGTACACATTGCCAATGGCTGAGATGTAGATAGAAGCCCAGAATTCCACACAGGTACAAGTAAAATGTTTCATACATTTTCTGTACATATAAAAGCTAAGCAGTTCAACCAGCCTATATCTGAAAATTGCCATAAAATTAAACACTCCTGCATAATCTAAATGTATGCCCATTACACAGAGTCAGGGTTTTCATTAACAGCCCTGTCAACAAAACCTCAATGATACACATTCAAAGAATGGATCATGTTCAAGTGTAGAGAAATTTATGTTTTACAGACTTTTATTCAATAAATTACATTTAATTTTTCTGATAGTCTTCTTTTTTCTAAGAAGTAACACAGACAATAGTTTTACTTAATAGTTAAAGAAAAAAAAAAAAAAAAAAAAAGAATTTTTCATCTCTCCTGACAAAACTTACAAAGTTTCTGACATTTTCTCTCAGGTCAGAGACACTGCATACAAATACCTGTTTTGCCATTCAGTCAGTGAGGCAAAATCGGAAACCAGTCTCATCCCTGGAATAATTGCTCAGTAAACAAGATGTGTGTAATCAATTTTTATTATTAGTACTTCAGTTAACATTCAGGTACCATATTTTACTTCTTATAATGAGCACAGTTTTACAATGGATATTTGGTGTTTACAGTACATAACATCACTGAGAGCGGCAGAATGCCTGTCACGTGCACCAGAGCTGGATTAAATATACGTACATTTCTTTGGGCAGTAACAGTGTAGAAAGATAAATTGCAACATATGTCTGCGTTACTCTATATGCACAAACGTGATTTTTCCCTGTTATTTCAGTGGATGGACATATTTTTTATCATTTTGTTTATCAACAAAATGTATTATTAGTGTTATATTGCATGTCAGGTAAAGAAAGACCTCATTAGTCAGTGAGGTCTACTGCAGAGAAAGCTCATGTGTTTCCAGCCCCAGTGATTTTACAGTATAATTCTTAATATCCCCATATGATTTGGGATGAAGACCCAAGATTATGCACTTCCTCCTCTTGTGCTTTTTACATTGTAGGGTTAGAAATTTAAATTTCTGTAAGAGGAGTGACGTGGCTGATTCCTGGATCCATGATTTTCTTCTGTGGTAGCTATATCTTGAGAAGGACAAACTGGAAAAGAGGGGTCATCAAAATAAATCGCTCCACCTATTGACTAATTTATGTTCAGGATTTGATGCATTGGTGGAGAACATTTTTTCTGTTTCAAACAAATATCAATTCCTAATTGCCACAGTCCTCATGAGGACCTTCTAGCAGCTAGTTAAGCACTGTCTTAAGATTTTTTAAATGGAGCTATTAAGTTGCAAACCTGTCATCACCCATGCACAATCCATCTCACTGTCTGTGGGATTCTGCTGGGTGCAGTTTGAGCCCAGTTGTGTAACAGTGGAGCCTTTTATCTTGGATGAAACAGCAGCAGTGTGTTTGTGCATGAGGACCCCAGGGAGGAAAGCGCACAGATAGCTTCTGAGGCCCTTGTGGGACAGGCCTTCTCCTCACACTGTCATTTGCAGCTCATGCGATCAACAGCATCATCCAGCAGCAGCTTTCAGGCTGAAGAGATATGCAGGCTCTGCTACCTCTCTTGTCCCATGCACTTCCCTCTGAGAGCAGGGGGCACCATACATAATCCACTGATGGATGGGTGCAGTGCAGATGCTGTGCTGAACATGGATCAGTGGAAAAAGCTGTGCTTCTGAGGGTTTTCAGATGGCCATTTTTTTCCACATGCACAAAACTGTAGGTTTTCATAGTCAATTTCATAATCAGCCACCCCAAGGGTAGGAGTGGCAAATGTCAAGCAGAAGGAATTCATTATTCCATCCTTTGTTCCATGGCTTTCTGTTGTCGGAGGAGGTTTGCTCCCTTTTAGTCCCAAAGGCTCATCCTTGCATCTACCCCAACAAAATCATTAGAGTGGGTTCTCAGATCCCATGTGTGAATATCTAATGGCTACTACCTAAGGAAGGCATGAAGATAAAGCATGAGGCTGATGTTTGTACCTGAGATTTCCTCCTCTAATCTGATGCTGGGTTTCATGTCACACTGCCATATTTCTCCAAAATATATGCAGTAAATATCTGTATTTTCTTCTTCAGAAGTGGACCTCCTGCTGTATCAGTAAGTTGCACAAAGCCAGATTCTTGTTTTGAACTTTATGGATCTGTGTTTAAGATACATGAAACTCCAGTATCATGAAACTGCTTAGGACAAAAAAGAACAAAAAACCAAACAGCCTTTGAATGGTCATAAGATTATTTTTCTCTTACAGTAGGGAAATCTGTTTAATCTCCCATAACATACTAAACACTATGGCCTTGTCACTGTGAAGAAGCAGACTATGCGCAGTCAGAAATAGCAGCAGAAAAGCATATTCTTTGCCTTACCCTAGAGATACTGAAGAAACAGAAGGGGGAATTGCCTTCAAATTGGAACCAAACCACCCACAGCAAAACTTCCATCAGAAAATGCCCAATATTAGACCCCAGATAATGTAATCTGTGTCAGGCTTTTGTTAGGATTCACTCAGAAGTAAGACAGTTGGTAGGACTATCTCAATGATGTAGCAAAGAGATAGTTAATTTACTGTCTCATACAGAAGTATCTCAATTTTTAAAATATTAGGCTTGACTCCTGACAGTGGGCATAGTGCAGACCCCAAAAAGCCACTCAAGACACCGTCTGCACCTGTGGAGGGTGCAGCCTGTCCTTGCTATTACTCAGAGGGAAGAGGAGAGACATCTGCACTTGACTTTGTGGTCACAGGCATAACGCCAAAAGACAGTATGGTCTTTAATGTGGGAAGAAGAGTGTATAATTCATTATGAAGTTTAGCCAACAAAAGGCTTTTTTCCCTAGCAGCAATCAATGGTGGTCCCCCCTCTCCTGTTTCTGTCACTTTTTTTCCTCCTTTTTTTTTTTTTTTTTGTTTTAGAAACCCGATCAGTACTAAGACAGCAGAAGCAAAAAAAAAAGGTAAGATTTTCCTCCCTTACTCTCCCTGACAGAATGATTTAATTACATAATAGCCAATCTAAACAGTGCAGTGAAAATCATACTTTGCATGCAAATGTGAAGACAGTGTTACCACAGGAATGGAGTCTTTGTTTAGGTACGGGGTGTGCAGAAGTGGGCTGCTCTCTTCTGAACAGACCCAAGTAATGCAGCAAGAAATTCACAGATTCAGGGAGAGCAGGAGGAGTATCTCTCCTGTTTTTTGCCACTTAGCTTTGACTTTACTGCCCAGAAGGAGATATTTTCAGATGCAGGAAGCCAACAGCCAACAGGAAGTTAGCAGCAGGAGGATTTGTCCTCTACCCAGAGAGTCAAGTGGTTCAGACCAGCCTCATACCTTTCATATGAAAGCAGAATTATCTGCATACACTCCAGCTGGCATTGAGGCTCTGTTTACCATCACTCTTCAGCTTCAGAGAAACAGTAAATGTCTCCTTGCCTGTACAAAAACCAGGGTTTCATGGGAAGACAGATTTGGCCTTCTGCCTGCTGCATTGCCTTGGCCCTTTGGAATGAGACTGCTAAAAACACTTGACAGCTTGTTTCCATGGATTTTATACTATGCCCTGAAGTCACAGCATAATCATATAACTAGCACTGCTGGTGCCTACATGTCCCCATGCTATAGGCAAAAGCATCCAAGAACACTAATGTACTACATGGCACCAATCACCACTTCCCAACAGTGTGTAGCTGATATGTGTGTTGGAGATATGCTGTCCAGACACCTCTCACATTCCTGTGAGAGCATCACAGCAAGCTATGAAAACAGCTCAACTGTCAGCCACCCATGCTACTGGGTACAGCCCTACAGAAGACTTCTAACATATGGTTCTCTGCCTGTATTTTAAATCCTCCATCTCAATGTTATTGAGAATTATTAATAGCGTTTCACTGGTTCCTCATAGTTGGTGGTATGTACCAAGAACTTGTTCAGCTGTGTTCAAAATCTGATGATCTTGGTGAAGATCATTATATTAATCGAATATTCTTCCCACCTTGGCTATGCATGCTTTGTGCACTCCTATCTAAGTGGCTTCAACACTTCATACTTTCTGTTTCTCTTGCTGTTTCATGTCAATATTGTCTGTTTATTCTGCAGGGAACATAAAAGCTTTATTTGCACAATTGTGTGTACAACAGGGCCCCAAGATTTGGCTGAGGCTTTTGATGGTCAGTGTTCTTCCTGTAGATGAGGCTTGAATTTTAGCATTACTCTTGACCCTGGCTGAAGGATTCACATACTCACTCAGGCTGGATTCAAAAGCAGCAAATAGCAAGGTGACAGATAGCTACTTCTGCGTTTTGGCATGTAAGCAAAGGAATTAGCAGGCTGTAACTGCACAAGCTTACAAAGCCTGGAACAGACTGGCAGGCACTGACATTTGTGTCAGCTGAAAAAGAAAGCAACAAAAAAACCATGGAACACAGAACAGTAGTACTTCAGAAAGGAAATCTCAGCTATTTGCAGAATGCCATCAGCTGAAATTTCTAAAGACCAGAAAGGCCCATTTTAAAGTGCTCAGCATGCCCAGTCAGGGCCAGGTTTTCAGTTAAGCTCAGTTCCCATAGAGGCAGCTAAACAAGAGCCAGATTTTTAAAAGCACTCAGTATCCAGCTGTTTCCATTGCAACAATTCTGTCCCAATTTTTAAGCAGAGCTTAGCACCACTGCACAGGCTGTGTTATTTCAAAAACTTGCTCTAAGTGACTTCACACCTGGTGTCACTGTTTCATTGGCTACCTGGAGGAGGATCAGGCCACCTCCATTTCTGTCTTCTTCCACCTTTCCTGAGCCCTGATGTGGTCTGAATAATCTGAACTATCAAATAATTGTTCTGGGTATTATACAAAGAGGGAATATCAAGAAATACACCTCACAGACTACAACATGGTGAGGTTCACAGTTCGCCACTTTACCAGGCAGTTTAGAGCAGCAAGAGCCAGCCAATTACGCTGACTCGAGTCAAATTACATCAACTTCCAAATGTCTGAGTTTGGAGGTCTCAACCTTTTTTAATAGGCAGATGAAGTTGAGAGTTTCTTTCTCCTGAAGTCTGCAGAAAAGACAGCAGACTCCATGATTCAGGGAAGACTGTGTGGCGGGTGATGTAAAACATTATCTGGTTATCAACACTTGAAAAATTGCAGTCTTCCTTCCGTCAGCATGTCAGTGTGAAGCTTTCTAAGGGCAGGAGTAACCCTTTGCTAGGAGAAGCCAGCCTCAGAGGTCCTAAAGCACACAGCTCTTACACTTGCAGAGAGCTTGTAAGAAGAGAACATACAGACAACATGGGAAAGGGTAACACCTTCTGCCCTAGTGCCTACTGTCTGGCACGGCTCTTGTGTAAGTAGAGAGGTGTAATTCAGAAAGTGGAATGAATCACAGAAATTCTCAGAAGGTGGTCTATGAGAAGAACTAGTTTCCTTTTATTTCCGTTGTTTGTGTTGGGACTTTTGTTTGTTTCTTTGTTTTGGGCTTGGAGTTTTTGTTTAGTTATTTGGTTTGGGTGGAGTTTTAGTGGTTTTTTTGAGGGAGGGAGATGGGAATGGGGGGTTGTTCTTCTTTTATGTGAAGATCAGGTGACAGAGAGGGAAGGGCAGAAAATTGACTGGATTGAAGAAGCAGCCCACCACACAGACAGGCTCAGGCTATACAGGCTATACACTCAAAGGCATGGGTAGCTGAAATCACTTTTATCATTTCAGAGAGAGTTTACAATGCTCAAAAAAAACTACTTTAAAGAAGAAAAGACCTGAAGAGCAGGCGAATTTCAGTCTTTTTTTAAAAGATGCAATTCATTTGAGAGGCATGTATCTAGCCATTTGAAGCTTCCTCCTCTGTCATTCTTTCCTCTCATTTCCTTGATCCCCCTTGCTGTGTGACCATGTGACATGCAGCCATTTGCTGAGAATCGAGAGAGATATTGGCAGTTTGGGAGCTGTTGTTCCTGCTTATGTATGCAAAGAACATAATTGCTAAGTGCATCATCTGTTGTAATTTGCACATCCACACACAGAATAGATCAGGGCAGTCTTCCCATAAGGATACAGTGCCTTTTTTTCCCTCTCTGCTTTTCTGGGCAGTAAAATATTAGGTCTTCTGGGTGTCATTGCAGCACAGGCTGAGCAAATGCCCTAGGAGGTGATCCCTGCCCCAAATAGCTTACGCTCTTAATATAGCTGCAGAGAACCAGGATGTGAAGCAGTATTTCTGTAACTCTCTTTCCTCACACACAAGTTTGAAATTACTTGAGAAATAATTTAGGCAGGTCTGCAGCAGGTGTGAGAAGTTACCAATGCCAAATCCAGCATTACAAAACCATTCTGTAGTCACAGACACACCAAGTGGGAGCTTGTTCCCAAAGGTTGTCTAAGCAAGGGCCAACCATGGAAGAGTCAGTGAATACTGGTCTGGAAAGAAAACATAGCACCTGAAAAGAACAAGTAGCATCTGTGTAATAATAAGAGGGCAAAATATTGGGAAAATATAAAGAAATCTAGAGAGAATATCAGAGTGGCCAATATCCAGTTGGCCTCCCCATCAATTGTGTTGATTCTCACTGTCAAAGCCTTTTGACTTCTCATGATCTTCTGCAGCAGAAGCCAAGACAGTATCTTCCTTAAAACCTTAAGATGCAGGTCAGACAAAGCCTTCACCTGAAAGTGCAAACTGCACAGACATATTACACATCTCAGAAAACAGACTTGTGCTCTCTGATGACAGGGACAGGGGATTGTTGTTGTTCCATCTGACTCCCCTAAGTAAATATGCAGCCCATAGTGTGTCTTGAGTTCCTTTAATTTCTTCACCAAGCTGTACTTGCAGAAGATTCCCCAATTACCATTTAGGACCTTCAGCAATAGAACCTTATTGTCCAAAGAGTTGTTTCAGTCTGTGGCAGACCCCACTGATGTTTATATTACGATCCTTTATTCCCTGGAACCTGATCATGTTACCTCAGGGAGCCGCATCTCCTTCCCTGGTGCCTGGAGTGCTATGTCCTTTTAATCAGAGACTCAGAAGAGAAAATTTCCTCTCATGCAGGCAAGCTGGACTCCAGGACGGTTTGGATGGATGGAGATGAGAGATCTCTGAAGGCTGCTCTTAAAATATCAGGTTTATTATAGAGGGTGAAAGGCCTCGCTTGGAGTCGCCAGACGCGACACATGGCAAGGCCTGAGGGAGTGGGGGAAGGGAGAGGCTAGTGGTAGAGGGAGATACGAGGATGTTCCAGGAGAGGATGGAAGTTCCAAGAGGGTGGGAGTTCCAAGAGAGTAGAAGTTCCAAGAGGGTGGGAGTTCCAAGAGAGCGTCTGGCTCCTCAGGGACCCCTTATCAGGGGGCTTCAAGGTGGGCTGGAACAAGACTTGGGCCAATGGGGTCACAGATACCAGATGCTTCAGGGGAGGGTTACAGATGTGGGATGAACCATACATTGGGAGTGAGATAGAACATTCCATTTAACCTTTGAGCCTTTCTGTAGGTAAGGGCAGTGTTCAACCAGGAGGGGGGATTGTCTTCATCCTGGCTGTACTATTGTTTTCTAGTTGTTCAGTAACTAAGGTTTGGTATCTCAAAATTTGTTACCATCTCAATCTCTGTATTTTCTAAATCTTTTGCCAGGCAATCATATTTATAAGGCTTTCTTGTTTCATCTTCCCCAACACTCTCAGACAGTGGTCTTTAAAACAGTAACACACCTTGTGCGAACACATGGAGGGCCCACTGATCCTCCACCAGTGTTGGAATGTCAGTTCCTTCCCGACCTAGCTCTTCTGCTTCGTGGAGCAGACAGCTGCACTAGTGGATGCTACTTTTGTGTAGCAGCACCAGAAATGGGGGAACAGGGGGCTACCAGTGAGCACCAGTCATTTTCCACACATGTGCTTTCAGGCTGTACTTTACACGTGCATGCAAAGTGCTCTTTCCCTCCAGATGCACCACGGGGACGTGGCCCCC